TCTCTCTCTCTCTCTCTCTCTCTCTCTCTCTCTCTCTCTCTCTCTCTCTCTCTGTGTGTGTGTGAATACATAATGCGGGTTTGTGCCTTGACAGCCTCCCCAAGTGAGGTTTGTAAAAGAGTGAAGTGCTGTGACTTCACCCCAAGATGCAATAAACACACAAAATGACTTCCTGAGTAATTTTTCAGATTTCCTTCCCAAAAACAAGTTGATGAATTTGGGGGTGGGGGACGGGGAGGCTGGAAATCATTTTTAAATCTCTTTTCATTCACGTCTGTAGTGGATACTGTACACATCCTCTCCTGTCTCTCACTGTTGTACATATTTTGACTATTTATTAGATTAGGAAGTCGTGTTTTATTCACCAACTGAGCCAAATGTCTGTGTGCAATTGTGTTTCCTTTACCTTTCTTTGTAAAATTTTGTACGCATAAATGAGTGTAAAAAAAATCACTGTTTTTCTAAACTTCTCAGAATTAAGGATTGTAAATATTGCAGGTTCTTTTTCTGTGTAATGTGCCCTACTGTTTCATAATGCTGTAACTTGTAAAAACCATGTATATTTATTTTCTGCTTATTTAATGTCTTAAGTCCTTGAAAGTGTTGACATCCCTGTCCCCCACACCCCTGCCATCCCGTCAATTGCTTCAGCTCCTGAGTGGGGGGTGACTGGGTCCGCTCTCCCAAGGTGGCCTCCATTTTGGCTCCTGGCATTCAGTTCTTGGATTCTGCCACCTTTCTGATGAAATTAGTATTTTGCTGCCCATGAGAATCCCTAGATGTGGTAGGCTGGAAGATTGGACTCTTAAAAAAAAATACCCATCAAACCCATTTGTTGTAAAGTAAGCTGGCTTTTGAGAAAAACAGACTTGCCAGTAAGTTGGCCATATCTTTAGAGAAGTATTATCAGCAGATGGGAAAGACTTTTTTTTTTTTTAAATTGAAAGAGTATCTTCGACAGCTCAGTGTTGAGAGAAATCCAACTCTGCCACTTCTTGAGGTGCTGCTGTGTGGCTGTCCTGGATAGGGACCTGTTCTAGAGAATTTGCCAAGACCACTGGTCTCCCCAGGACTCTTGCTGGCTACTGTCCCCACCTGCTGTGTGGTTCCTGTGTTGAGGTGTGTGGACTGAAATGAGCTAACCCATTCAGCTCCCTCCTCCTGGCCACTGCATTAGTCCAGCCAGCTTCTGCAGGTCCGTACCCTTGCTCCAGCTCCCCGTTTCCCTCAAGAAGAGGTCGGGGTTCCCACTGGCCTGTGTGTCAAGATAGAAGTGCTTATTGAAGCCCGAGGGGCATGTGACTTCATGTAGATGGCTCTGTCCTCCCTGCTGATTTAGCCTGGTGCCTGTGTGTGTCCACTCAGCACAGGGTTGTGTCCACACGTGTCGCTAAATCAGGGGGGAACCCTTCCCAAACAGCCTTGCACAAAGTACCCTCAAGCTCCCAGCCAAGTACTTGACTGCTTTTATTTGGGAATTTCAAAAATGTAATAGTTCAAATAGGTTTTGATGTCTAGGTTCTTTGACCTCTGGTTACTGTATCCAAAACTGTCAGGTACCCTTTACTAAATAGCACTGATGTCTGTGTATAGTGCCCCATCACTAACGCGTCCAAGGACCCAGCGTATGTAGCATTTGTATTGCAGTTTCCCTGGCTTCCTTTATGTTTTGCACTGATGAATTTTGACAGGGTAATTGCCACTGTACTTGTGCAATACTGCTGTAAATAACTGCAGATTTTTTTAAGAAACTCAATCTTTTATGTTCCTAATGAATTTTATATAAATAAAACTTGCAACTAGCTTCCGTGAACCGTTTGATTTGTTTCCCTAAAGACGGCCAACAACTGAGGGTAAGTGTAGTTATACACACCTGCCCCCGTCAGTCAGAACACGTGAGCTGTGTGGAGATCTTGTAGCTTGGTGCTTGAAAACAAGTCTGTGTGGTATAGTTAAAGCAAACCGGGTCGTGCAGTTTTGAAGTGGATGGCGGAACCTCCTGCCCACGGAGTCAGCCATGACTCAGTACTTGGGAGGAAGAGGTTGATCAGGAGCGGACTGTTCTCTGGCCATCCCACAGAACTGCTAATCTCTGGGATCTGGGGTGTCCACTAAATTAGGAAGAGCGAGAGACACTGAAGCGTTGTAGGGGGGCTACAAGTTGTAAGGTCCGTGTGAACGAGTTCAGACTTTGCCTATTTGGTTCTGAAGTTGCTGCTGAACCGTTCAAGCCAGGGATCCGTTCGTGCAGCTAGTTAAACAAGAACACAAATGTGGGGCTTTGTAAAAATCCATCAACCTGTGGCAAAACAGATTGTCAGGGACGCCGCCCTCGATCCTCATCCAGGTATGAGCTTGCATTTTTCCAGAGCCCCCCCCCCTTTTTTTCCCTGCACTGTGGGTGTGGGCTTTTGTACTTACCTGGGCATTTTGCATAAATACCGGTAACTACATCCATTACCCAGTAACAGGTCGTAGATCTTTCTAGAGTGATTCCATTTCACTCTGACTACTGCACTGGGTACGGAGAGCAGTGCTCCAGGGCCTGGCTCCCCAGCAGCAGCCATCAAGAGTGCTCGCTCACCCTCGGCTGCTCAGTGACATGCCAGTACCTGCCTGGTGTGTGAGGAGACAATGGCCTTCCTGGTTTAAATTAGACTTTGCTGTTCACAGCTCTGATGGCACCAGGCCCTGTTGGCATTGCCCTTTTGTCTGAAGGGAGCGGTCTTATTTTTAGTCATTTGTTTCATTTTCCTTTCGACGATCACCTTGTTATGCATAATCCTTCAGTCCATTGCTTCTTTTCTCTCTTCGTCTTACTATGAGAAAGCTCAAGTGCATAGGAAAGGCCACAGGGTTTGACCGTGCCCACATAATATGGCTGCTGTTATGGAACTCAGAACATTTT